GATAAAATACAAAAAGTGTCTTAAACTTTTCTCCGTCACTTTAAGTTATTTATGAATAAATCCTCTTACACCACATTCGTAATGATAGGTCTCTATTGGAGTCAAAAACAGAGCAAAATTTGTTTTTCATGAATCTTTGGATTTAGATAGAGCTCAACATGCTGAACAAAAATGCCAATAAAACCTTTCCTTATTTTCTAAACAAAAACAGTAAAAAAAAAATGTTTTTTTACAAACAGTACTTTTTCCAATAATTTTATTAGTGTTATTATTAGGGAAATGGCTTCTAATAACAAGAGAAGCGAGTGATTTTCGTAGACAGTTGATTTCTCTACCACTACATGTCAGCGGAAGATGGTTGTTAGACCATTTGAAAGAGGACACTCTAAGAACTACGCAAATAGAAGAATACTATCAAACAAGTGTAAAATAGTTGTGAACAGAATCAATCAAGATACATTATTTTTTTGGTATTGGTATTAGGGACAATTACTGTAGGATACGAAATGCCCAATAAATCATCACGATATACTATACATGAAAAGAAAACAAGTTGTATCTGTTGAAAGAAGGAACACTAGTTACAATAAAAGTAGCATCTTCATCGAATGACGTATTTTAGTCTAGTTTCTGAAGAATATAGCCGTTGTGGTGAGATGGTTAAGATGTTCAACACATATTTACAAGATACTGTGTTCGAACCTCAACATCGTCAGACATAGAATGACCTTGGACAAGTCACTAACGGCTGCTTGTCTCGGACCATCCATCCAATAGCACGCTGATTATGTGGGCGATATAAAAGAACAAGGCCTTGTGGCTAGTATGTGCTTAGTCAGTGTGCATGAAGAGCTTAAGTTATTAAGCGAGAGAAACTTTGAGTCAGGCTAGCCTTCTGTCCAGAGCTAGGACTAGCAACAATTATGGGAAAATATCGGGCTTTTGAAACTGTCTTCAGACAGCGTCCCATACCACACGGTGGCCGAAAGACAGGGTTTTCTTCTTCTCCTTCTTCTTCCTAAGAATACAAAAATCGAATAACACACAAACGTTCGAGCTTCTTTTTCAATACATCATACACCAACAGATCCTATCGTATGAATTGAAACATGGAACATACTCTCTTGGTTACCATGTTTAAAATTGTTTGAAGAAAATAGTAATTTGAAAAACGATAATGTCAATTCGAAAATTTATGAAAAAAGACGTAATCATATCTTCTAAAGATAAAGAAAGGATTAGACTGGTTTGTTCTAAATTCTATTTATTTGATTATTGTTGAAAACCAATTAAATATGTTGAAACACGGTGAAAAACATTTCATTTTAATATTCACCAAAATATGGCAATCTAAGGGCATAATAGGATATAGAATACAAAATTCATACGATAGGGTAGGGTTACGGAAGGAAAAAACCGTACTCTGGAGAACCGTAAGTAGGAACTTATTGAATTTATTATTTGTGCTCTTTTTTGTGTTGAAAATATTCTCGAAAATTCTTTACTTGGAATCAAACAAACAAGATTTTTTGTGATGATACTTCTTTTAGAGAAAAAGATGATGTATCCTAAAAAGTATATTCGTCATCTGTTTCGAAAAATCGATTTACGCATAATGCCATTCATATGTCTTCTCGAATTCAGCTCGTATATCAATCGAGTCTGCATGGGTAAGTTTCATTATAATTAAGATTACACATTATTTCATACTCGTTCTTCTATAGGATATGTCAAACACACTGGTTTAAATGACGATTTAGGTGTATCTGTAGCAGAAGACAATTGGGCTGTTTCTCTTGTCTATCTCGGTTATGTAAGCCATGCAACTTTTGCTTTTAACGTTATCTTTCATCATATCATTGCTAGCTTATTTTTGCCATTCCTTCAACACTTCTACTTCGTTATGTTGATACTAATATCTACTTTTCTGTTATCATGTTGGCATGGGGATTGATCAATGTCAGTATGGGATTTATCAAGACCGTTCCACAACTACTTGCTTTACGGTTTTTGCTTGTAATTGTTATTATTTATGTTAAATCTCTAAATTCTCTACTGAAAACTTCTATAGGGAATGACTATTGCAGGTTTCTTCCCAGGCATGATAACATACTTATCACAATGTTATCCCGTAAAACAGCGAACTATACGAATTGCCGTCTTCTATGCAGCTGGTATTATATCAGGAGCTATTGGTGGTATTTTAGTAAGTACAAAAAATGATTGACTTCGTTGAGATTTTTCTTTCAGAAAGTTAGAAATTGACAGAATCACAAGAAGTGTTTGAGTTTTCTCATTATTTTACAGAAAGATTGTGATGTGTCAAAATCTACACTAACTAGATTCGAAACTTTTTAAAAAGTACAGTCTACAACGTACTATTTGTTCTTCATCATTTTCATAATATTGTATGCAACAAAGAATTTCTTTCTACTTGACTTGATTTTCTTTGCCTAGGTATTCAGCATCGATAAAATGAATGGTATCGGTGGTCTACGTACTTGGCAATGGCTCTTTCTATTCATGGGAATTCCACTTATTCTTCTTGGAATAGCGATTTTTTTCTTTCTTGACAAGATCTCTAATACTCTTCAGTGTAGGTTGCTTACAATCGATTTTTGTCAATTTTACTCGTCTGATTTTCTAAACAGTTTTAGATCCTACAGAAAAAGAAATTCTTACCAACATTCTACGTAATGATAGAGTGGCAGACGCTAATGAGCTCTCAGAAGAGAATGGTGTGCAGTGGCGAGAAATATGTCGTGTTTTTATCGATTGGAACATATGGCTTTTCGCAGTGATAAGTGTGGGGCTTATGGGCACCACAAAATATTGGCTAGCATACTTTCCAAGTCTTATTAAAAAACTTGGATACATAGGTGCACAAGGACAGCTGATGTCGATTCCACCATATGTATGTGCGTGTGTCTTTGCCATAATAGGTAGTTTTTCTGCAACAAGTTTTAATGAGCATGGATATCATGTAGCATTTTTTATCATTATTGCTGGAGTTAGTTTTGCTCTCATGGCAATTCTTGATACAGTTAGTCCAGTTGCAGTGTATATAAGTGGATGTTTTGCATGTGCTGGAAAATATTCAGCATATGCTTTACTTATCGCATGGTTAGCTAAAAATCTAAGTGGTCGCATAAGAAGATCATTAGCCGTTGCATTCACTGTTGGACTTGGTCAAATCGGTGGAGCAATTTTACCGTTCATTATGAATGATAAAAATGAACCAAATTTTCGTCAAATTTATATTACATCTGCAGTTGTAATGGCAGTAATTATGTTTCCTACTTTACTTCTTCGATTTATTTCTACTAACCGAGAAAAATCAACTGCAATTAATCACACTGAAGTACTCGAAAAGGCTAATAGTGTACATGACGCACAAATATGAACTATAAGCTGAGTTTTGAATCAATGGAAATTGGTGACGATAAACGTACTTTATGACATTATTTTAACATGATTATTAAAAGTTTTCCTAAATCTAATAAAATAATTGTTGCATTTTTCTTCTGCACGATATCAACTTTCTCCTGTATTATTTAAAACCAATTGTCAAAAAAAAACATATGATTGAAGCTATTGGGAAGATGCATTCTCATAGAAATCACAATGTTTATAGTGATTATAAATAAAGATAAAAAGAAAGAACAAAGAAGGAAAAAAAAGAAAGAAATTTTTAAATTTATTTTATATAACCTTTAAAATAATGAATGAAAAGAAAAGATTCATGTATATGAATGATAAATATTGATCATTGTCAATAATGAGTGAAAATTTTTTTCAAATTATTTTTTGATGCAAAATTCATTGATTGGGAACTTCTGATTGTTTTACTATGGAAAATTCTTTTGATCAAAAGTCTATCGGAAAGATTCAAATATGTGACCTAATTCGTGAACAATGGAAAATATAAGTGAAGATATTGACGATTATATCTCTGTTGTGATCGATTTTTTCGTTAATGCTTAAAATGAGACGAACGAATGATCTTTATCGACAGATACGAAAAATATTTTATTGTATTCATTTTTCTTTTTACTTGGCATGGTTGTCTATATGGAGTTACTTACTATCGAGAAAAATTTGATGTCTTCTACTTAAATATATTTGTTATTGTTAGGTAATAAAGTCAATCTATAAAATGTATTACATCTAAATGAGTTTTTCTATATTGTTGTCGAAATGGTTTTGATCTATTGACTGTTCTATCATGCTATTTTCAAATAATATAATATAATATAATAATAATTATCTTATATTTACTAATTGAAGTCTATGAAAATACGTGTCTTTTGTTCGAATATAATTAATAATAGAGAAGGTAATTCTTTCAGATTGATCGAACAAAGAATATGAAACCAATGATAGATGAGATTTATTGTCATGATTAACATGTAATCAATGAGCTTCAAATGTCTCTTTATGCAATAATATATAATTTTTGACAAAATATCTATTAACTTTATCATCGAAACTTATACAGATATTACAGATAGGTTTATCGTTGATCAACTTATTTTAATCGTTTAGTCACTTAGATATTTTATTCTTAGACAAACAATAATAATAATAATAACTGAATACATTTATTTAAATAGGCATATTATCCTTCGATGAGACTAAATAAAAAATTAAATCTCGTCATTGATACTATTATTCAATCCGACATTGATGCATTATTAATGTTTATTTGTTCTTAATAGGATATTCACATGACTAAGCTAATATGAAGATGATAATCATGCTTGTCCTTATCTATATAGATATTCTAGTTGTTTTTTTACATAATTGGCCGGTCGATCTGCACGCCTAGTATACACATCTATCTACTGCGACGCCTTGGTCATCGTTATCGGAAGGAAAGAGAAAAATATATATATTAGTATAATTTATTAATTTAGGTAAGTACAAATTTTATTTACTTATTCACTTATATTGTTGATATATCATACTGTTGCCGACTATGGCACAGTGGGCTGCACCTGATTGTGGGAATGCTGTACCTCAATATCAAAATATAGGAACACATGTAATTAATAATCATCAACCGTCATCAATTTCTACTGTCTATGCTGAAACTAATAGTGTATTACTGGGGGGAGGGGGGTGATTTTCAGTCGGATTTTTCGTATAATGGAATGGTAAATCATCATGGCCTTTGGAAAATCATACGAAAAATGAGTGATGACAATAGAGCCCCTATTGAACAAATTACTCGACTTACGGCTCAACTTTCACATTTACAATCTATAGTTTACCATCAGCAGTCCACCAATTCGTTATTGGCAGCACAAGACACGGTAAACAACCAATTAAACCTGTTACAGCGATGTCAGTAAATGAATGTAACTCTTCGAAACGTGTATTGTCTCCAATGTCAGAAGAACAAGGTGAATCCATCGAAATGGATAATGATCTTAACACTCGTATTGTTACATTTACACAGAAAAAGAGACCAGCTTTAGGTGTTTCATCTTCTACAAAAATTCTAGACAAGGGAATATCTATGTCGAACCAACCTAAGCAAAGTAAGGATAAACAACAGCAAAACATGGCTTATGCTAATGTCCATCTTCAAAACAATCTTAGTATGAATAATCATATGAATGAACAACAAGAGCTTCATATATCAAAAGAAGCAAAACGGTTTGCTCAGACTAGATATCCTTTTTTTCCATTTGTTATTGTAGCTGATCAGGAAATTCGTGATAAGTTCATTATTGAAGATTTATGTAAATTCGCGAAGGATAAACATCAGTTTAATATTGATATTGCTGGGTATCGTCGAACATCAACTTCTAGCGCACATGGAGAATATAAAATTTTACTATTTGTTAAAAACTTAGAGACATTTGCGTTCTTGTTAGATGAAAAAATTTGGCCCAAGAATTATGTGGACTTAAATATAAATTGATATGTCCTTCGATCCCACCTCAACTATCAGCAATTATACCTGCGTGGGTGTGGGTGTGTGGGCGTGGAATGTGGGTGAGTCTGAATACTAGTATTCTCTTTAACCACACCCGCACCCACACCCTTGTGGAAGTGAATAGAAGACTGATGACATTGTTGCAGTAAGGGTGTGGGATGTGGGTGAGTCTGAATACTAGTATTCTTTTTAACCACACCCGCATCCAGACCCACACCCACACCCACACTCACACCTACACCACACACCCACCTACACCCCACACGCACACCCTCATTAAATTGATTGCGACATTTCTGAAATATCGAATGTTTTGGTGAAGCAAATACTTTTTTTTGTTTGTAGAAATAGAAAATATTCCTTCTGTTATATACCAATAAAATGTTGAAAATGAAAACAACAATAGTTATTTTGAATTCTGAACTATAAATCTAGTCAATTCTTATAAATGTACTGTTGTACATATGCGAAAAAACTTATTGCATAGATCAGTATATTCTTAATTCGATTTTTCCAACCAGTTATTGGATATGAAATGACATGCTTTTGAAGTTTATAAGTCGGAGGACCCGTTTTACTCATTGATAAGCCGGCTGACATTTCAACTCGTTTCAAAAAATCTAGCTTTGTCTCACCAGACAAAACAGTCATTGGAGATAACCAAGGAAGATTTTTAAACGTAACGGTTCCATTATCCATTAATTCATTTTTTTTCGCATCGCTTATGTTTTTCAATTGTTCAATTGTACATAATTCGTACCAGACTGTAAGTCGAGGTCTTGATACTTGAGGATAAACAACTCGATGAATACCTGGTTTGAGTCGATTTTCTGTTATTCGAGATGCTGCTTCTCCCAACCATATGACACCAATGTTCGATTCCAAAGGTCCATCTATCCATTCATTATTCATCAAATTTTTCAATTGAAGTCCTTCATGTGTCGATAAAATACTGAGTGAAAATAGACCTGGATCATAATGTGGAACACAGTTAACTTCGTCAGTTGTTTGTCCATCCTTCGGTGGTTGGAAACCACTTTTCATATTGAAATAGTTTACAATATCAAGCATACCAAAATGTTCATCTTGTAAAGGAAGATCAGCACGTTCGATGAGAGATGATAAAGATGGTTCATGATGAAATACTGAATGCTGATCAAGAAGTTCAATCAAACGTTTTGTTACAGTATCCAGTACTTGTGAAAGATAGTTTAATGGTTCAATAAGTGTCACTGGTACTAATCCTTTATTTGCAAATTGGCCAAAATAGCTTCCAGTCAATAGTTTGATACCTTCTTTATGATTCATTTTTGAATAACCATAAATTTTCTGCCATTGCGAATATATACTCTTGGTTTCATCAAATTCAAAAAATTTCAACAGTTTTTTGGTTAAATTTGAATTCAAAATGAGTTCACTTGGTAAAACAACAAAACACCAACCGTTCGATTCGAATTCGGTTTCCATTCGTTTTATTTCCATAGAATCTTCAAGATTTAATATTTTGTTCAAATCAATAATAACTTGAGATTTCTTGCTTAATGTAGACATTTTTCAGTAACTTTTTGTATAAAGTTGAAGGTTCTGTTTCTTTCTGATTGTATTATAGTTACTCAGTTGTTGCCTTGCTTTATAAGCAGAACTGTAATTGCACAATCTTTTCTTCTGATTTGATGACACGTCATCAATGATTGACTCATTAAGATAACTTTCTAAAAGAACACGTCAGCTGCATTAAGATCGAATAATTTTAAATGAGTACTGGAAGTATACATTTTGTGGGTGTGGGTGTGGGTACTACGGGATGGCACATAAGTAACGTAACCGAGAAAAAAATTTCAATATCTCCATTATGGCTCAAGCAAACGAGCTGATATTTTTACCAATGATAGAGGCATGTTCAAGCTTTATATTCGTAAAGACATATCTAGAGAGACCGTTTGTTAAGCATATTGTTTTATTTCCTATCTGCGAAAAAGGAAACTTTTTTTGTCGAGATCACTGATGATACTTAACAAAGGATCTCTCTAGGCTTGTCTTTATGGATATGAAGCATGAGCATGTTTCTATCATTGACAAAAAAAATCAGCTCGTTTGCTTGAGCCGTAATGAAGATACTGACTTTTTTTTTCTCGGTTACCTTACTTATAGGCCACCCTGTATATGGAAATAAAGTACTTCCGTCAATACCTTTGGTATGTCCTAAGCATAGTGTACATGCACACATCTACTGAGTATTGTATAATCTGATTTATGTTAAAGAATAGAACGATTTCTGTCACAACATTTAATTAAACATAGAATCATGAATGTTACGTGTGTTAAGTTATTTGTTGTACGTGCGTTGCAGAATGAATAGACTTTATCTTTATTGTATTCACACTATATTTTAAATTCTGACAAAAAATATCTAAAAGTTTATCTTTCAAATTTAGTTCAGCTAAAAATAAAGAATAAAATTTGTTAATGTTTTAGATAAGTGTTAGCGTCGGTGTGGTAGAAGAATTTTAATTTTAATTTTTATATTTCAATATCACCAATGTTAACTGGAGGAGAAACTATAATTTGTGTTCCATCTTTATTGTTTGTATTATCGTCAGTATCACCAAGTGACACATTCTTAGTTTCGGGTAAGAGTAATATTAATAAAAGTACAGCAAGTGCGACAGATCCATAGACATAGAATGTAAGGGATAGATATTGTTCAACAACAGATGAATCAATGACAGGTGCTATTATAGCACCTAGACGGCTAATGGTGACTGCAACCCCAACGGCACTACCTCTAATTGACGTCGAAAATAATTCGGATATGTAGATCCAAGTTGTGACCATCGACGCCGAAACTGCAAATTTACCTAACTGAGAGATAATAACTGTGGTCAGCGTGCTACGTGTAGTAAGCAACGGTATCAGTAGAACACAAACACATGTTACACTTATAAACGTCATTAAAGAGTATTTTCGACCGAGTCGTGTTGACATGAGTACATTGGCAACAATGTAGGCGACAATTTCGACCACTGCTCCAATTAAGATACCAAGATAAGGGGAGATGTTCATTGTCGCCAGACCATAAGATATTTTGGTATATAATAGCGTGCCTATGAAAGCTAGCAGACAACTAATCAACAGACGTTTTGTTGCTGGTTGGTGGCACAGAAGCTGTCGAATCTTGTAAGCAAATGTGATCTTCTCTGGATTTATTGTATGAGATGATTGCATATTCAAAAATTGCTTAAATGTAGGATACCATTCAGAGTCAGTTCGACCATTAGTCTTCGCTATTCGTCGTAAAAGTGTTTCAAGTTTCGAGTACTGTTTTGTGGAATAAAGATGAAGAGGTGATTCTGGGATATAATAAAGATATGGAAATGATAATCCAATGAAAGCTGTTACTGTCCATAACAGTGTTTGCCAATGACGAGTCAAGTAAGCAAATAATGTGATTAGTACACCGCCGAAAGCGAAACAACATGAAGCTATACTACCCGCTATGCTACGATATGTTGAAGTTGTCAATTCGAGCATCAATACAAAAGCAACATTGACTGTGGAAAAAATCAAACCGAATGCAAATTGATTCGTTAATAACAAACCAAATCTAAGACAAATATTTCACATGACTGTTCAATCTTTGTACAGAACTTACTTCAAGTTAATCGATATGGGAATCCATTGCATAACAATTTGCATCGATAGACAAATAGTCAAGAGAAGCAGACTAACGGTGGTAATGATCGCTTTGCGTCCGAATCTATCAGCTAGTACGCCGATTATTAAAAGTGCGAATCCAGCCATTTGCATGAGAGTAGAAAGCCAACTCTTTTTCGCTTTTGCATGACATACGAGACTGGCTTCTTCTGTAAATGTCAAACCCAAAAAAACACTTCGATCAAATACCCATCCATTTGGACAGTCGATAAGGCTTTTATTAGAAATTGTCAAATTGAATATATGACATTGATCCCATCTACCATTCTCCATGGGAATATATTGACGAAGACAAGCTTCATGTTGAGCATTGATTGGATTAAATTGATTATCATTTGGCCAGATTTGTGATGGAAGACGACAACGATGTTCTGGTTCGGCTGCGCCATAAACGTAGTACAATGACACTATGCCGGCTGAGAATTCGATCATGTTAAGAAAAAAATAGTGAAACCATTGAAATCGATTGAAATCTCCACACTGTCGAAGAACGTCGTCTAGAGACACACTCATTGAAATACTTCGAGCAACGGCTTCTCTTATAAAAGATTCCTTTAGCTCGCACTTCTCATATTCAAAGTAGTCATTTCAAAACGAATACATTCTTATCTCTACACTCGGTGGTCTTTGTTTGTCCGCATATCTTTTTTCTTTACCGTTTTCGCCTTTTTCTCATCGGAATAGTGTGATGATGGTTATTCTATGACGTAGTTTTTTTTCTGTCTAGAAGTCATTATACGATAAGGATGATAAAGATGCGAATCATCTGTTCACCCATGTAAATATTTTTTGGGTCAAAACACGTCTGAATCGCGTTTGATTTGCTCCCGAAACGCAGTTCAGATGAGACACTTTTTACGTTTGGATGCGGTTAGAAATGTAATCGCGTTCAAATGTATTTGGAAATAACTGAATAAAATCGTGTCTCAACGCAAAAAAAGGTGTGGGTGTGGGTGTGTGTATGAAGGATGAGAAGACCCACACCCACACCCACACCCACTCAGACCCGTACCCACACCTTCATCCCACACCCACACCCCACACACACACCCGTCTTTCATGAATTTTAGAATAAATTGACAGTTGGCTGCCATTAAAATCTCGATAAGACTAGAAACACACTAAACAAGTTCGTGAGAATGAGAACCTTTGAAACCGAGTTATAACTAACAATTCGGTCTCTAACGACATATGTTTACGTACTTTTTTAAAGATAAATCTATCTTTATTGAAACATCTCTATGTATAATATAAACATGAACTAAACATATGAAACACCTCATTCTAAATGACGTAAACTCGAATTAAAGAAGATTATATGTAACATAAATAACTCGACAATGATAAAAAGTAGAGATCTATGATTTTTCAGCAATCAAATGACAAGATTCCAAATTTCTTTTGTGTTCGATTTTTTATAAGATTAAAATCTTTTATAGTCTATCGTTTTTTTTTGAAAAAGTGAAGAGATGAATGATTTATGTGTTTTTTCTATTATATTGCAGTTATTAGAGACCAAAAAAAATGAAATATTCCTTTGAAGAAGTTCTGTTGAATTTCGTTGAGTTTTAGCGAGTTTTTACCGTAAGTAGATATTATATGTCTTGCAATTTTGATTTAATCTTAGATATTTTTCTCACTTTTTCCAGAGACGTCCATATATAAATGATGAAAATTCCACTACATTAATTGATAGATATATGATATATATCCGATCGATATAGTTATCAATTTTTATCGAAATTGTGATTTTCATTAGAAAAGTTTGCACCTCCTTTCTATTGGATTAAAGAGGAAGAATCGTTTATTCTGTATCATTGAAAATTTTAATTTAGAATATCTACAGATATCACCTGTTAAGGTCATATTTAATTAGGCTTAAATGAATAAATCAGTTAGTAGAAAAATGTTTGTTTTTTTTTGTTAAATATAAATTTCATAGTTAATAGAAAGTTTGAAACAGGTAGTTGGACATATAATAATGGTACGTCTATGGAAATTCAAAGAAAAATAAAATAGTTCGAATATTTTTTCTCTTTACAAAAATTTTGCTCAACGTGAAAATATTTTACAATTTTATTTTGAATATAATAAATGTGTTTATCATATTAATGAAGATACTACTCATCGATTTACTTTCTGTGAATAGATATATTTTTTTAGATTATGAAACAGAGTATTATAACTAAACTAGTACAAAAAACATTAGCTAGTTGATATTAATACATCGGGCACGATGTGGCCCATCGGTGGGCCACGCTATAGTTTAACGAGAAACTGTATAGAAAAGCACTTTCTTTTGCTTTTTTCTTAGGCAAGAGGGTATGATTATCTTGAGGATGTGAGTGTGGGTGTGGGTATGAGTGGGATGTGGATGTGGGAGTTCTTCTTATTCCTCCCCATATTCCACACACCCCACTCTCACTCACATCCACCTCCACACCCTCAAGATAGTCATGCTCTCCTGTCTAAGAAAAAAGCAAAAAAAAGTGCTTTTCTATACAGTTTCTCGTTAAACTATAGCGTGACCCACCAGTGAGCCACATCGTGCTCAATGTGTTAATTAATATTCTCACATTTGATTTATTTCAATTGAAACATAAAGAAAATCAGTTGACGACATTAATTTTTGATATTGAACGAGCAAGCCTAGTCGGAATTTTTCTCTTGGATTTCAATTCTTTACCTGCCTATGGCCATTACACTATGTTCTAACGAAATTTTTACAGGAGATTTAGATTTTAAACGATGAGAAAAGACCTCAAGATATACAAGAATATATTGAGTCTATATATTTTAGAGCGATATGCTGATGTAAATAATGTTGAAACTGCCCAATTGGTGCACGACCTTAGAGAAACTATTCATTTCATCCGATTCAACGTGATTTATTTGAAGAAAGAAAGAAAACAATTCGCAGTAATGATTCTATTCGATAAAAAATCGTTGAACACGATGATTTCCATTGTCGGCAACATAGAGATTACCATATCGATCGAAGAATATACCTGAGGGATAGCGAAGATAATTTGCTCCTGGTCCTTCACCCTTTCCACCAACGATGATAGTACCTTCTTTCGCTTCTTTAGGCCAACGCATCACTCGATGATTATGCATGCCTGCCACATAGACAGTATACAATGTATCGACAAATATTCCTTGAGGATACGCCAATTGTGTCAAAGCGTTTCCTTTGCCGTGACCCCCAGCGACGACAATTCCTTCGTGTGCATCTTTATTCCATTTCATCACACGATGATTGTTGTTGTCTGAAATGTAGACAGACTGTTCTTGATCGACAAAGATGTAGCTCGGAAGGTCGAGTTGATTAAGACCAGTACCATTGCCATTACCACCAGCAACAATAGTCCCATTCTTATCTCCTATTTTATATCTTCTTACTTCATGTTTATCTTCGTCAGAGACATAGAGATATCTCTGATTATCCATGGCTACTCCTCCGCAAGGAATTCTCTCAACGAGGATTTCTCCTTGAGTTGTGTTATGACGACGAGACCATTGTACGACTCGTCGATTTACTCGATCACAAATAATGAGATTATCCATCTCTCTATCAGTCAAAACATCAGTTGGACCATTCAGTTGGTCTAATTGACTTCCAAAGCCTTTACCACCAGCTACTACTTGTCCTTTTGTATCATTCAACTTCCATTGAACAATACGCGCATTGCGCCAGTCAGCGATAACCACTGTTTGATCATCATCAACAAAGATACCGCGAGGATTTTGGAGTTGATTCATGGCAAATCCCCATTGAAGACCACCAGCAACAGTCACTCCATTCTTGCTCCATTGGGCATTTACTGGAATATTTGGAATCATTCCTGTCAAAGTAAAAGAAGAGGATAATAGTAAGATATATATATATATATATTGGAACAATCGGCTTGGTCAAGTTACCCAAATAGGATCCAAAGAGACAACACTGAAGTTGTGAGGACATCGAAGTTTAATAAACACTTGCCAAATTAATCTCAATACTCTCATTGAAACACCCTCGAGAGAGAAAGAGGAGAATCAGTCAAAAAATCTATTCTAAAATATCCAGACAGGATTGAAGGAGAACCTCTAAAACCTGAGACATGTTCTTCCAGAAAATTATCATTGTAAGTGCTCAAGTTCTTTTTGAGTAGCTTTCATGAATAAGATTTTCGAATTGTCTCTAGAAAACTTCTAATACTGGCTAGAATGGTGACAAGAAAGCAATGAGATCAAATTAGGGTCATTCAGATTCATTCTTAATGAACATGAGATATCTTTCATTTCTTAGATTTGACGTTATATTTTCGAAGCTAGACTATCATACTACCAACGACAAAACGACTGCAAATCGTATTTTTTGGTGTAACTTTTGATAAAAACAAGATAGAGAGCTGCGGTTTTCACTGTTGGAAAGAGGAGATGA